CCCCCCCAAGACCTGGAACCACCATGTGCCCCTGCACCCGTCCTGGGATCACAGCAGGCTCCCGCGTGCCCCCACCCCCAGGTGGAGGCCTTTCCTTACCAGTCAGCCCACAGTCAAACAGGGGGCTGCTTCTCAGGGCCGCAGGGATCACAAAGAACCAGGCAAACGACCCCACCCAAGGAACACGTCAGCTTCCAGAAACTGACCCCAAAGAAACGGAGGCACGTGAATTGCTGACCAAACATTCAAAATAACTGTTCTAAAGATGCTCAGAGAGCTACAAGAGAGCGCAGCTTAACAAAGTCAAGAAAACAATATTCTCAATTTAACAAAATGAGTTCAACAAAGATACAGAAAACGTGAAACAGAACCAAACAAACCGGAGCTGAAGAATACAGAGACCGAGCTCGACAGAGCGCGTAGCCGTGGAGAAAGTGCCCTTTTATTCTGTAAACAGCAGCCGGCACAGGCCGGGAGGGAGCACGGCGGTGATGACGCAGCCGGGTCGCCACGGGAACCCCTGGGGACGTCAGTCCTGCGGGAGGAAAGGGGAGCAGCCTGTGTGTCCTCACGGAGGCGCGAGCACGCCGGTGGCCCTGGCCTACTTAGGAGCTGGGCCCTTGTCATAAAACTTAATGAGCTTCAGCTGCTTTTATTGTTGGTTTAACAGACACGTGAAAATTTTATTCCCAGAAGAGGTTAGTCTTTTTAGTGAAATTTCAAGATTCATACCTTACTAGCCAAAAATGTCAGCATTTTAAGTGTGGCAAGGTGCAGGTTCAAGACCAGGGCCGGTGCAGCAGCCAGGCTCCTCTACCCCCGGCCCCATCCCCAGGTCCAGGGGGCCACGGGAGGTTGTGTTCATCAGCCCGGCTCACGAAACACACAGCTTAGAGTCTTCAGGGGGGACATACATTTTAAGAGCGGGTATTGATGTTCGAGTTTTCTCTAGGATTTTAACAAAACAACTAATAGATTCTTATGGTTCAAAAATCAAAGGTCTCCTTCCCCGCATCACTCCCCCCC